CACCCCCCCGCACTGCACCGCATGGCAGGACGGCACGTGTCCAGGCCTCTCAGTCACTGGCTCTGTTTCCTCCACCCCCAGGTCCTGACCTTCTTTCTGGGGAGCTCGGGGCTTATTCTCGGACCCCAAACTCCAGATTACAAAGGGAAAAACGGTAGAGACCCCTCCCGGTTCGACAGCGTTTAGGAACCAAAATTCCGTCCAGCCTGTCCCTTTGATTTCTTTGGACCCAATGCAACCCAGGAGAGGCCGGACATGCAAGTCCTGGACCCCCAGACACCGTCGTTCCCCTGGGGTGAGGTCTCGGGCACGTGGTCAGCCATCTGGGTGACTGGCTGACCCAGGACTCTGGTCCGATGACCCAGGACTCTGCACACAGACGGCCAGCAGTCGAGAGGACAGAATAAATGTTTCTGAAAGACCCAATGACCTGAAGGCACCTGTTCCCAGGAGGTGACATCAGCACCCTCCAGCAAAGCAAAGGAGGGACCCAGACAGGGGTAGGGGGGGCAGTGGGAGGAGCCCAGGAGGGGGGGAGGGGAGGCCCTGCCTGGGCTGCTGGGCGCAGACTTGAGCTGGGGCCTCAGCTGGGGACCAGGGAGGGACACAAGCGCCAAGACTATGAGAAACACGAGGCTGAGGGGGAGCCTCACAGCCCCGTGACCCTGCCCACGGCACCCACGCCCAGTCACCTACGTGCTACACCTCGTGCAGAATTCCTCGTCGCCAGGGGCTTTGTAGAAACGGCCTGGTCGGCACTGGCACCTCGTGTTGCTGGTGGCAGTGCACTCGGCCACCTCGTCTTGGTCTGCAGTTCAGGAAAGCCTGCGTCAGTCCTGGGGGACCCACCTTGTGCTCGTGCACAGGGGCGCCTGCGTGGGGTTTGGGCTGGAGACCCTATGGCCCGGGACGGAGCTCAGTCCATCACGGCGGGGCCCTGGGCCGGTCTGAGGGCTCATGTAACTCTGCGGGGGACGCCTCTGCCACCTGGTCCCACACCTGTGTCCCCAGGGCCAATGCCCGGATGGGGGCGCTGGTGCAGGAACAGGGTCACACGGACACAGTTTGAACCACAGTCTCAAAATGCCGCCCACAGGGAGTTTCTTTTAAAAAAACCTAGCTTGCCTGACTGTGTCTTCACCAATACCGCGTGTTCACCTTTGTGGTTGAAAAAAAATAAGTGTGTTTTTCCTGTGGGGTTGGCCACTTGTAAAGCATGTGTACGGAATCTGGGCTCACAGGAACACTGAGGTTTCAGGGGTCACATGCAGTGGACCCCGGAGGGGACGTCACCATCGTCTGAGTGAGGGAAGAATCCAGCCTCCGTTGTACCCGAGGCGTCGGGGCAACGGGGCGGGTGGGGACAGTCTCCACTGCGCTCTCTGCAGGGGAACCACAGGGGACATTTTCAAAGGAAAACGGGGTGACGGTCCGTCCGAGTGTGGACTGGTATTGGGGATCACTGCTGGTTCCCCTGGGTGGGTGATGCACCCCTGGTGCGTGCAGGAAGTGTGGGAGGTGGTGAGCTGGGGTGAAACACGGAGACATCTGCAGGTGACTGGGAAATTGTTCTCACCCCCTCGCACACAAAAAAACACACTTATGCACACATGTGCACACAAATGCACTTGTGCGCGCACACACTCTTTCACACTTGCACACACACACACACAGGTGATCAAACAGCACCAACTGTTAAAGGGTCGGCAGCCTCTGTTCTACCCTGTCGCATGCCCACCAGGGTGGAAGGGGGCTGGTGACACGCAGTACATCATCCCTGACTCCCTGAGGGGTGACGCTGACCCTGCTGCCTCTCCGTATGCGTGTGCGTGGGATTTCCCAGTTTCCCACATCGGACTGAGCACCTTCCCGTGTGAACACGATGACAAAATAGACATGGGGCTGAGAATGTGGAACCGGAGTGGCTCTCTGGGTCCTGTCACTTTCCTGCTGTCACACTACGTGGGGACCGACGTGGGAGCTGACGGACGTCTCCAGCCGAGTTTCTGGGGCTGTGACCTCTGCACTGCGGGACCGGGACGTCCCTCCTTCACCCGAAGGCCCCGCTTTCCCCTCACATTTCTCGGCTGCACCGTGACCATCCCTGTGGCCAAGTCCCGAGGCCCGACGTGAAGGTCCGGCCACGGCAGGGTCAGGGGCTGGCAGGTCAAGGTCAGGCAAGGTGCCCGGGGGAGACTCACCCTGGGAGCAGGTGCCACACAGCAGGCAGGACTCCAGGCCGTTGGGCAACGCCGTGAATGTCCCTAGGTCGCACTGGTCGCACTGTCCCCGGGTGTGGGGGCGGCTGCAGGGTTCACGGACATGCTCCCCTGTGCAGGAGGTGGGCGCTGTGGTCAGACCCCTCCAGGCTCGAGGGGCGTCCCTGCTGTGCGGCCTGCCCACCCCGTCCTGGGGGCAGCCCCGCCAGTGGGAACAGGGAAACACTTCTGTCTGCAGTTTCGGATCAAAGTGACCTCTGGACGTCACACCTTCTTGGACATGAGGAAGCACAAACCTGCCCGGATCCCACCTCGGCCTCCTGTCCCTGCCCTGCACCCGCCCCTCTGGCAGCTGTGCTGTGGGCTGCACCCGGACCCCGGCCCCCAACCAGCAGAAGCTGAGGACCCGGAGGTCACGCCTCTTGTCACCAGGAGCAGGTCCCAGAGCTCTGCCTCCCAGCCAGGGCCCAGGCTCAGCCTCTGGGAGGAGCTCCGCCCGGTTCCCACCCACAGGGGACAGGTGTGCCCTTCAGGACCCAGGAGCACCTCACCGGGCCAGCAGGTTCCTGCCACCCTCGCTGAGGGCAGACGGGGCTTCCTTCTACAAGGTGTCCCCTGGGGCCACGTCCCACCTCATGGGTGCTGCTAACCCGCCTCCCCCCCTCACTGTCAGGAGAGGGCCCCTCCCCATGCCCTGACACACGTGGACTCTGTGGTCCCACCAGGCAGACCCGTCCCAGACTCCCCCGCGGGGCAGAGCAGGCAGCAGTGGCCTGGGGACCAGCACTTGTGGGGCCCGCTGCTGTCGGTGGGGCTGGGGCTCGCCGGGCTCCGCTGGAAAGTCTGGTCGGTGCGGGCGGTCCCGGTCAGCTGGAACAATGGGAGAGGTTCCCGGACTGCCCACCCATCCTGTATCCCATGCAGCGGAGGGGGGTTCCCTCAGCTCCGGCCACGGCTCAGCTCAGTGAATCCCTGAGTCCCCTGCAAGAGGCAAGAGCTGCACGCCCCCTTCCCGCCCTGCTCAGGTCAGGTCTCCTTCCCAGACCCTCTCCCTGCAGAGCTGGGGCCCCTCCCCGCACACGCCCCGGCCCTCGGAGGATCCACCCCTGGGCCCCCGCCCGGACGTCGGAGGCCGTGAGCTCACTGGCCCCACACGTGGGGTCAGGAAAGGGGCCCCCTCCCCCTCCCGTCCCCTGGGCTGGGACGGGTGACAATGCCCAGGTTTCAGGAGCGAGAGGAGGTAGTGACAGTGACACCAACCCCAGCAAGGACACATCTGGGGGCCGAGGGCTCCTGCATGTACAGAAGCCTCCTGACCTCCCCTCCCGCTTCCGCCTGCACGTCTCACTCACCGTCTCCTCTCAAATCCCCTGTTAGTTTCTTTCCCCTATTCACACCCTGAGCTTCTCCGCACACCGCGGTTTGCCAGGGGGAGGGCGAGTGGGGAGGGGGAGGGGGGCGACCTCCCTCCGCTGCCCCACCCACCGCTGCCCCTCCCCCGGTGCGATCCCGCCTGGACCCCGGCCGAGGTGCAGTAAACAGGGTGAGATGCAGGGGGCGCTCTGACCCCGGGGCCACCCAGCCAGGGCCAGCGGTTCCCGGTAAACCGTGCGGTTCGCCGGGGATCAGTTATTCCCCCTGAAGCTGTAACACCCCCCCCCCACCGCCCGCAACCTGCAAAGGCTTCGTTACCAGGGTCCGTCCCCGCGTGGCTGGCGGGGCCACCGGGAGCATCGCGTCCACGCTCAGGACCAGCGGCCTGGCCGTGCGCCCCGCTCCCCGCTCTGCCCAGCCGGGCGGCCCCGGGGGAGCCTCCGCGCGGAGGGAGCCCCGGCCCGGGTGGCGCGGGGACCGCGGAGGGGACGCCGCTGCGCTCGGCGAGCTGCGGCAGGGTGGCGGCCTCCGCCGCTGGGACCCCGGGGCCCGGCGCCAACGGCACGGCTCCCCCCTCCCCGCTCCAGACCCCCGGGGTCCGAGCCCTCCTGGGGTCCCCGCCGCTGTCGGGGGTCGCCCTCCACCGCCCCGCCGACCCACCTGCGCCCCGAGCAGCAGCAGCAGCGGCGGCGGCGGCGGCGGCCCCGGGAGAGCGGACGTCCGCCGCATGGGGCCCGGCCGGAGGGGCGGCCGCAGCTGCCAGCGCAGTGCGAGTGCTCCCCAGGGCTGGGGCGGGCTGTGAGCAAGTTGGACACAGGGTGACCCACCGCCGCCACGACCGTCCCGCACGGAGTGTCCCTGCAGGTTTCCCCCGCTCCCGGCCGCGGACCGCCAGGCCTCAGGGCGCTTCGGGGCAGGTTGCAGGGAGGCTGATGAGAACTTTTCATACGGGCTGAGGGGCAGTCTTCACAGAGGCTGCGATGTCGTTTTGAGGGAGATGATGGGGAGTTTTACGGGAACCTGAGGGGCGGTTTTCAGAGAGGCTGAGGGGCCGTTTTAGAGAAGCTCACGGGCAGTTCTCACAGAGGCTGAGGTATAGTTTTAAGGGGGGCTGAGCGGACGTTTTCAAAGATGCACAGGTGCCGTTTGCAGGCAGTTAGGGGGCAGTTTACAGAGAGGCTGTGCGACTGTTTTGGAGAGGCTGAGGGGCAGTTTTCCCAGAAGCTGAGGTGTGGTTTTCAGGGAGGCTGAGGGGCAGTCTTCACGGAGGCCGAGGTGTAGTGTGCAGACAGGGCGGCGGCAGTTCACAGAGAGGCCGCGGGGCCCCGGAGGAGAGTGAGTGACAGCCCGGGCTGGGGGCGGGGTCCGGGCGCTGCGGGAGGACGGGGCGGGGCCTCTGCGGGGTCATCCCGGTTCTCCCCGCTGCGGCCCCTCCCCCACCCCGAGCCGCCCGAAGGGGAACAGCCCGGCAGCCCTCCCGGTGCTTCTCTGCTCAGCCCCAGGCCCCGGGGCTCGGGGACGATCGGCCCCTCGGCCGTCTGAACCGTGAGGCTGTTTCAGCACGTCCTTCCCCCCGCGTGGCTCCAGGGGACCCACAGGGAGCCGGCGCGCTCGAGAGAGCAGCCCCCGCAGAAGAAATGCGGCGGTGGCGTCGTCCACTGGGGGCGCAGTCGCCCTGAAGCCGCCCTGGCGGGTAGCCACTCCGCCACCGACCGCCGTTCCCGCCGCCGTTTCTCGGGCCCGGCGGACCCGGCGGACCCGGCGGACTGCCGCGCAAGTGAAACTACGACCCCGACCCCCGCGTCTACGGCTGCCCCGGAGCGGCGCTCGCTCAGGTCTCTGCGCTCCCCTCCCCGGACGTTGCCGCTGCTCCTCGTCCGGGCGGGCGCGGTGCGGGTGGCAGCGGGGCGCTGGGGCAGGGCAGACCCGGACAGCGGGGCGGGTGTCGCCGGTGGACCACAAGGGGGGCGACGTGCGAGCTCTGAGCCGGGCTGGGGCCAGGGTGGGGCCCAAAACCAAATCCACCCCTTCCAGGATGGGTGGACATTTAAGAAGCCAGTCTTTTATTTACTAAAAATCAACTCCGGCGGGACGGGGCGCACTCCCATTTATGAACGACCTGGCCTCCCCTGACTCCTGACCCGGAATCTGCAGCGTGGACCTGGGGGGAGGGGTGGGCGCAGGCTCCGGCGTGCACACTCAGCACCGCCCTTCCCGGAGCTGCAGCAGGTCGGGAAGAGCCAAGGGTGAGTCAGGTCCGCAGCCCCTGGGACACATGGAGCTGAGAATCAGTCTAGAGGGTTCCAAGCAGACAGGACCTGAGCGTTGCTGCTGTGCTGGGGACAGGCGGCCATGTGCTGTGGCACCTCCTCAGGCAGAGGCCTCAGGGACCAGGTTGTGTCTGTGCCCTGGGCCCCACCATCCCCTCTGTGCGCTCCCCTTCACAGGCTCCCATGTCAGCAGAGACTAAGACCTGGACCGTGTCACCGAGTGCAGCCCTTGCAAACTGGCTGCTTTACCACCCACCGCAACCGGGAGACTGTGTGCCTGCCGGGTGCCGAGTGCTGGGAGGGTGAGTGGGCTCAGTGAGGCATGGGGGCCCCTTGGTTCCTACCCTGGAACCCTGCAACCACCTTCCTCCCAGGAATCACCCCAAGGTCAGGTGTCACACGTGAACAGGATGAAGGGGCGAGCAGGACACGTGTCTGCCAAAATGACACGAAATCTGTGGTGAAAGGGTCCCCCTGAGGTCCCTGGGATTCAGAGCCGCTGTCGAGAGAGGAACCCACAGAGTTCACCCGTACCTCTATGTGCCCCGCAATCTGCAAAGGCTGGGGTTCTGCCAACTTCCCACCCCGCACTCCTGCCACTGGGGCAGTGACCCTTCGCCCACAGTCGCCTGCACTGGGTGGGGGAGGGACTTAAATCCGAGCAGGGGTCAGGCCAGGTAGAAAGGCCGCAGCCTCCCCCCTGACGTGCCTGCCTCACTGACGAATAAACCACAAGGGATTTGAAATAAATATATTTCACAATTGCTTGTTGTCCTTCTGAGGAGAAGGTCATTGGCGTTTCAACAAGGACAGCCTGAGTCTGGGCTTGGCTTTGGGCAGCGAGGACGGGGTGACAGTGTTGCTCTTGCCGACCCTGAGCTAAGTGTGTGTCCCCTGTCATGTGTCCCCTCTTCGTCTCCTTTCTCGGTTCCTCCAGCCTTCGGGGCGCAGGCTGTCCGCTCTCTGGTTGACCTTGTTCCCGGGTGGTTTCTGCTTTCGGACGCAATCTCAGGAGGGGCTGACGACACCTCCCTCTGGTTACCCGTCACTGCTGGACAGAAGTGCACCCGTGTCCATGTTGTGTCCTGTGACCTCACTGCCTTCATTTCCACGTTCTCACAGGATTTTGTGGGTCCTCAAACGGTCCTACGTACCGCGTCCTGCCATCTGCGGGCAGTGCAAAGGCTCCTCCTCCCTCGGATTTGCTTGCTGTTTGTCTCTGTCTCCCGTGACCGCTGTTGTTCGGACCCCCAGTGCTCTGGGGCAGGGAGGTGGTGAGTGTGGGCGTCTGTCTTCCTCCTGATCGGAGAGAGGGAGCTTTCGGCTTCTCACCGTTGCGTGTTGTGTCACGGTGTGTCTAGGAATTACGGTTTTTTATAAGATTTTATTTATTTTTAGAGAGAGGGGAAGGGAGGAAGAAAGAGAGGGAAAGAGACATCAGTATGTGGTTGCCTCTTACACTCCCCCAAGTGAGGACCTGGCCCTCAACCCAGGCATGTATCAAGAATCGAACCGACCAAGAATTGATCTGACCAAGAATCGAACCGACAACACTTTGGTCCCAGACCCCACTCAATCCACTGAGCCACACCAGCCAGAGAGGAATTATGTTTTTAATAACATGTTCTTATAAATAATTATGACAAAATTGGATGCAACTTATACACTGTGCTCTTGTAGATTTTACTATAATGAACAGAATTAACTGTGAATTTTTGTATTAATGCCAGTTTCACTTTAAAAGCAATTCCTGCCAGTGTAATCTTTGGTGCTATGGATAAAACATTTCAGGGTATTTGCTATACAAGGAGTGACCCAACCAGAAATGGAGAAAAAAAATAAACGAGCAATTCCCTTCTGGAGGGCAGGCCCCTTGTAGTCCAGGCTTACCCACTAGGAGAGAAATTTCCAGGAGCCCATCTGCATCAGTGACGGGCTGGCGTTGTTGTGAGAGGCTGCGTTGGGCTTTACTGATTTTTTTTTCACAACTCTTACAGGGCACTGGGCCATTTCACGAGGGGTGATTTACCAGCCCACCTGCCTACCCTGTGCTGAGTGTTCAGCATTTTTTGACCAAAAACCCATGTGCCCACCCTCCCTACTCCCCGATCTCACCCAGAGTGACTGTTTTTCTTTCCCGCATGAAAAAGTCCACAAAGGGAAACATCCCGACGTGTAAGACGTGAAACAAAACGGCAGAAGCACTATGAGGTGTCAGAACCGCCGAGTCCAGAGAGTGTTCAGGGCGGTGGAGGGCCGTCCCCACGGGTGTCCCCCATCCAGGGCGGAGCATGTGAGGGTGACCGCAGGCTGGAGGTGTGAGAATACAAACTCAAATTTTATACGTAAATTCTCTTTTTGGGTCGCCCCTTGTGTACATGTGGCCAAATGCATCCATAGGTGTTCACATTCACATGAAACAGAATGTAATTACCATTCTAATCTATTTAAATTTCATTCCTTTATGCTTTATATTTTACATGGTCTGTGATAGGAATGAAAAACAGTAAATATCCTTCGAAATATGTGGAAATGTGTTCCCCACTATGGAAATTTTTAGTTTAAATCATTGAGATATTTTTATTACTTTTACTTTTTTTTTATTTATTTATTTTTATTTTGAGGACAGTAGTCTTTATTTTCCCTGAATCACTGCCCCCCAACATAGCCATCCCTTAAAACAGTCAGGTACTTTAAAGCACAGGGTGCAACGTTCGTGGGCTTCTGCTCTGGGTGAAAGGGGACCCCCTGGGACTGGCTCAGCAGGAGGGAGGTGAGGGGGCAGGAAACGCTGGCTGCTGTGCGGAGCGCGGCCTGCAGGGGGCAGTGGCGGGAAAAGGGACTCAGAGCAGAGGGGCCTGCCTTCCTCAAGAGGGTGGTCTGGGGGGCGGGCACCTGCCTGGGGAGGGAAGTGTGGGCCAGTGGGAGGCTACTGAGCAGGTTCCCACAGCAGAGCCCGGTGCTCCCTACTGGTGAGGGATAAGGTACCTGCATTACCGGTCCATGTTTCATGGCTGATTTCCACAGTGGGATCCAAGGTGAAGAGACCCCCAGGGGACATTTGCGGAGGAGGCTCTCGGGTCCCCAGTGATGGCGCTGATGCCCGGGTCGGCCCTGGGCAGGCAGCCTCTCCACGTGGAACCCTCCTCCTCCTTCCAGGTGGTCCCTTCTGCCCAGCCCCTGCTGCCCTCTCTCTGTGCACAGCAGGTCAGGATGGGGAGGTGCCTGGTGCCCCGACTGCCTGCCCTCCCTGTGTGCCTCGCCGTGGTCCAGCTGCTCAGCCCCTGCTCAGGTAGGACCGGCTGTGCGTCTGTGTATGTGAATCCTTTCCCTTTGGGCCCAGCCAGAACCCTGGACTCCGCCCACCCCTGCAAGGCCTGTCCACACCGCACCTGTGTGAGGACTGAGTTCCCGTCTAGCTGTCTGTCACCTCACCCTCCCTGCCTGGGTCACCCCCTGGCCCTCTGGGCCTTCTCACTCTGACGGAGCCCCCCCTTCTGATGACCAGCTGAGTTTGCTGTGGTCGGAGCCCCCAAGCCCATCCTGGCCATGGTGGGTGAAGACTCAGACCTGCCCTGTCACCTGTTCCCGAAGATGAGCGCTGAGACCCTGCAGCTCATGTGGGAGCGACCCGGCCACAGGCAGGTAGTGCACACGTACGTACACGGGCAGGAGGACACGCCGGCAGAAGAGTTTGGAGGGAGAACTTCAATTATAAGAGAGGATGTCACTGCGGGGAAGGCCGCTCTCCGGATTCACAATGTCAGGGTCTCAGACAACGGAACCTACCTGTGTTATTTCCAAGACGGAGACTTCTATGCAAAAGCCCAGGTGGAGCTGCAGGTGGCAGGTGAGCCTCAGGCTTGTTCCAGGCTCCTTTCCCTGGGCGGGGGCAGAGGCTGCAGACCTACCCCAGAGCACGTGGGCTGCTCACCAGCATCCACCCCCCACCTCCATCTCTGCTCCCGTGAGGCCTGTGACACACCCAGGTGTCCCCCAGGGTGACTTCCGCCTGCACCCAGGACAGAGTCCCCCATGCGACCCACCAGTCTCAGAGGGGAGTGGAGGTGGGGGATGGGAAGGAGGAGGACACCTCCCCGCAGTGGGTGGAACGTGGGTGTTTGGGTTCAGTGTGATCCAGACCAAGGCCGTGGGGCCCCAGGGGCCCGCTGCTGTGAGTCCAGGGCTCTGACCTGCAGGGACAACTCCTGTGGGACCCACGTCCCCCTCCCAAACCCCCGGGAACACAGCTGCAGTTGCACAGGTTGTGTCCGTCCTCGGTGTAGTGAGGAAGGACGCTCCCCTGGGGACGGGGACACCGGGGTGTCTCAGAGAGGGGGCGTCAGGGAGGACTCGGTGCGGTTCGGGGGGATGTGGAAGCAGCGCTGGGCTCTGGGTGGGACGCAGTCAGGATGGTGCAGGGTGTCACAGGTCACTCACAGCCGGCACAGGGAGGTGGGTCCCTGCACACGGTTCCTGTTTTCTCTGTGCTGTCACCCACCCTTGAGTGGCCTTGACGTGGCCCTGACCCACCCCAGTGACAAAGCGCCTTCTCTGAGGTGCTGCCCCATGAAAGTGCTCGTGTCCTTGCATCAGGGCTGCAGTTCTCATTCCCCGGACACAGCCCTGCCCTGTGGCTTCCAGTGCGTGGGGGCTGCTGGAGCGGGGACCATGCGGCCCCCTGGCCTTGTCCCCGCACGGCTCCTCCTCAGCCTGCTGTCACCTCCTGGAGTCCTCGGCTCCCCCGACAGAGCCCTCCCTGCAGGACTCTGTGTGTTCAGGTCCTCAGAGGGCTGCCTCCCCCTCTTTGTGTTCAGGGGCGTGGGGGCAGGTGGTAGTAACTCCCCTCTTCCTGGCCCCGGGTCCGCTGTCTTCCGTGGGAAAGGTTCCCCTCTGCACAGCCTCACTGTGGACACTTCCGGGGGGAGACCGTGGAGGAGAGCCCAGCAGCCTGGCAGTGAGGGCAGCAAGAGCCTCCCGAGGGGCCGTGCATTCGAGTCACTGCTCGGGCGGCCGCAGAACACCACGTGTCTCCTCCTCACGGGTGGGCAAGACCCCAACAGGACAGGCAGCACGGACAGGGGCAGTGGGGTGTGACCCACTAAGGCTAAGGTGCATCACCTCCATGCTTGCCCAGGGAGGGGTGAGGAGCTCTACAGGGGACCACCCTGTCTGGGGCAGGGGGGAAGGGAGGCTGCGGCAGTCTCTAAGGGGCCTTGGGGGAAGCAGCCTCTGCTCTGGCCCAGAGCCCCCTGGATCCAGCACGAGGGTCCAGCCAGGGTCAGGCAGTGGCCCCATCGGGCATCAGTCTCTGCTGCACAGCACACGCTGGGAGCAGCTCCTGGTGAGTCCCTGCTGGGCTCTTCAGTGTGGGTGCCCCTGCCTGCTGTGGAGACCCCTCTAGTACAGAGGGCTCCCCACGATTCAGCTCACTTCTCCTCCCCAGCGCTGGGCTCTGATCCCCACATTGACATGGAGGGCTACGAGGCTGGAGGGATCCGTCTGGAGTGCACGTCTGCCGGCTGGTACCCGCAGCCCCAGATCCAGTGGAGAGACGCCAGGGGACAGAGCTTGCCCTCGCAGACAGCATCTGCAGCTGCAGACCCCCAGGGCCTTTATGCAGCCTCAGCCTCTGTGATCCTGGAAGGCGGCTCTGGGGAGGGGGTCTCCTGTGTCATCAGAAACCCCCTGCTGGGCCAGGAGAGGTCAGCCAGGCTTTCCATAGCAGGTGAGTGCCCTGCCCCCTGCCCAGGCCTCTGAGGTGCCCCTGGGGGAAGGCTGCTGACGTGGGGCCTCTTGCCGGAAGCGGTTTATGCACAGACACCTTCTGAGCACTTCCTGCCACACACGGAGCCAGGCAGTGGGACGTGGGGGCAGATGGCAAACTTCAGCAAACACACCAGGTGGGGAAATAGGTACACCCCAAATCTCAGTGAAATTGGTAATCTCCTTACAACATAAAGGAACATGGTGGATAAAAGAGCAAAACGGGAATCATCAGTTTCTGGGAAGGTAAAACTCCCAGGAAGATGCCAAATCTGACCGAACAGGGAACTATTTCGCCCTGTGAATTTGGCAGCAGCAGGACAAGCGAGGGGGTGGGCGCCCTCTGGTGGCGGGCTGTGGGGAGACAGCCCCGTAGCCGTCTGTGCTCCCGGTGTTAGACGGTGTTGCTGGGGGTCGGCCCCGTGCTGTGGGGGCGCAGGGCCGTCTGCACCCGAACTGCGCACTGACTGATGCAAAACCCACTTCTGGGGACCACCCCACGGGCCAGCCTGCAGCGGTGGGACGTGACCCCTGTGACCCGGTATTTTTAAACCAGTGATCCCCGGGACAAAGGGCAGAGCCTGGGGGTGCCCACCAGAGGGGACCCTGTGTGCCTTGGGGGTGCCCTGGGGAAGAGACTCGGGCCTGCGGGCTGTGCTGGAGCGGGCAGGTCGCCGAGATACAGGGCGACACCTACGGCATACACAGCAGCTGCGTAGGGGCCTGATTTCACTGTAAACAAGATGAAATAAAATACTTATTTTTGATAACTGAATGAAACCTGCGTGGCACTCACCCTGCGTCAGGCACTGCATAAGCACTAACTGAATGCTCTCACTGATCAGGACGCAGCAACAGACGGTTACGTCATTAGTTCAAGGTCACAGCGCTGGTCGGGCAGGAGACCCGGGACTGGAACCCAGGTCCCCCAGCCCCAGAGTCTGTTCTTCGTCACCTGACTCCGCTGACTGAGGGGGGCTGGTAGTCAGTGGGGAGCTGGGTGCAGAGGGGACGTCAGTGACACTGTCTGTGCATCCTCATGCTCCCTCTCATCCCATGGGGGGGAGACGTTTCAGGAAAACCGTCCTGACTGTGTGGCAGTGAGAGTCTGGGTGCTGTGGGGACAGACAGATCCCTTCAGGGGCTGACGCTACCCCTTCGCAGGTGCCTTCTTCAGGGACACACAGCCTTGGAAGGTGGCCTTCATCGTGACCCTGCTGCTGCTCCTTGCGGGGCTCCTGTTCAGTGTGTGGCACTTGCTGTGGCGACGGCGGAAGAGGATCTGGGCCCTGTTCCAGGAGGTGGGGAGAGCAGAAGCTCAGAAAGACGCAGCGCGGGCAGAGCTGCGTCTGCAGCAAAGCACCCAAGGTGAGGCCCAGCTGCAGGTGGTCGCCACCTCCCTGTCCTGCCCACAGCCATCCCCCCTGGAACCTCCTGTGCCTCCCCTTGATAGGACTTTATTTTCAGTTTATGTCCAGAGTCGCTGCAGGAGGAGCTCAGTACGTCCCCATCCCCGTCCCTGTGCGTCCTGGGGTCCCTGGTCACATGGTCACTGACTCCACACGTTGTTCCCCGCAGGGTGGGCAAGGACCTGGTAGTGACCACGTCAGCTGCCCTGGACCTGCATCTCAGCCTCTGCTCGGTTAGTTCAGCCTCTCTCTTCAGTCCTACGCGCCCTGGGGAAGAAATGGGGACACTGACAGCACATGGCAGTGGTCTCTGCAGTGGGGAAGGGGCTGCGATCTCCCTGCACAAGGGGGTGTTAGAGTCCATACACCGAAGGAACCCCGGGAACCCGATAAATAAACCCTGGTCTGTTGAG